TTCAGCTCGATATTTCGAACGCACTTTTCTGGATCATTTTTATTGATTCTTGTAAAATCTGAATAACTATTAGCTTTGAATTCATGTTTTCATTATTACATATCCGAAGATTCCGTTCGATTCACGAGATCTTACTAAAATCATGCAACTGTAAAAATATTCAGATATCAAGAAACCTTAAAATAGAAACCCAAGTTTAGAAAGCGTACTATCTTTCTCTTGCCACTAGTATATTTTTATGTATTGAGATGTCTTTCAGTTGTGTTAAATAAATATTTCACATGAGAATAGTAAAGCAATCAGACCATTTTTGAAAGCAGTCAGTCAAAACATAGTACGGATGATGACGCCTGAATAACAACAAGAAAAAAGAGAAAAATTTAATTATGAATATTATCATAGAGGTCACGAGAAACCTCTTATGGTCTCATTTGCAGAAGATGCAGGCCATAACAGACAGATCCAGAGTAAGGCAAGTACGAGTTGTTTACAGATCGGACTTTTTGAAACATTTGATAAGTTGATCTGTTCTGATACGAATTCGACCAAAAAATGTATTGGTCTTGAACCTAATGCGATTTAGCAAATGAAAACAGTTTCCTCAAACATTCATCAATAGTTCAGTCAGAATTGGTAACATCAATCTTGAGCAAATGAAGTAACTTCAATGGTTTCTCAAGTGCAAAATCCATATGTATCTTACTAAATGTTTCAAAAAATCCAACTTATAAAAATTTTATAATAGAATATTTGTTGATAAGATGCATGATAGAAATTGCGAAACAAAAATCTGAATGACGATTAGAAAGAAGAATTAATCAAAAATCAAACGAAACAAGTTGAAATTAATGTAATCGAAATAATAAAAAAGAATTTTCGAAAAATAATTAAAATCAAACGAATCATTTCGATATTTTCATGATATAATTTCTATCGAAATTTTCTAAATTGGAAATTGATTACTACATAATTTATTCATTTAGGTTTACAAGCTTTATCAGAACTTAATCCAACACGACAATGGAATTTTGTCAAAGTAAAATTTTATTCTTATTATTTTAATCGAATTCTATTTATCAATATAATAGATTGATGTTGATTTAAATGAATTACGACATTATCGTGAAAATATTATTAAAACTGTGATATATCCATGTTCAACAGTATTAGATGATAGTATTGGTAGTGCTCTTTGGTTTGCTGCTCGTGGTAATGGAACACTTCATCATGATAATGTACCATATGAAAGTCCAGCAGAAGTAAATAAAACTGATTGATGATAGATATAGAGAATACTGTTATGTTTGTTTTTCAAGAATGTTTTTCATATCGTAGGAAAACTTTAAATATTAATGCTTATTCAATTATCCAACTGCAACGGTCAAAATTTGATTCATATGTTTTTTTTTTTGATAATAGTTTTCTGAAATTTCAAACATGCCACAAAATTTTACGTCTGTTAATGTATGATTCAGTATGTGAAAAGAGAAATCTTGAATTAAAAAAAAATAAGAGAAAACTTTAGAAGCACTTTTTCTGACAGGACTATGAAGTTGTTATTTTTTTATTTGATGAAACATATTTTGTTTTTATAGCGAACTATAGTTTGTTATTTGATCTCATATTGAGTCCACAAAGAAGTCTTGATAAGACTAGAAAAAGCTTTAAAAGGTTTCATGCTCATATATTGAATTTTCAACTAAACTCGATTTGTGTGGTAAGCGACTAGTTTTTGAAAATTCAATATCTCGACAAATAAATACTCTCTTCGATTGAAACTTTCAGAATATTCTAAGAATCAGCAGCTCTATCTATAGACTGGATTTCAAAAGCTGATGGACATCCATTCTTTTAAGATATTTATGTTGCTTTCAAGACACCCTTGTAGATTTAATATGAACTTAAACGACGGATGATAGTTAGGGTAGTTACCTTATTAGCAGTCACATCATTTCCTTGAAAAAGTCGTAGAAGTAAAGAAAAAACAAAATTCTCTGTTGATTAATGTTAATTGCTGTACTTTTTGAATTGATGTTTATGAGTAAAGACTTATAGAGCTTGATAAATATTTGCCGAAAAACACAAACAACCGATTAACTAGGCTTTTATATTTTGAATTTTGCTATCATTAAAAACAAACTCATTTGAAAAACAAAAACAACATTTTTAAAGAGCAAACCGTTCTCCACCGAATGACTTTCGAAAAATATTCTCGAGTAACTCAAAACAAGCAAAATTTTCTTTTTTGTTCTGTTTTTTTTTTAAATTTTGTGTCATCTGCTACATGTTGACATTATTTATTTAAATAGGTGTTGTTATCCGGTTTGGGTGCAGATGAACAATTAGCTGGTTATTCTAGGCATCGAACAACATATCGATTAGGTGGATGGAAAGCACTTGAAAATGAACTTGAGATGGAAATGAATCGAATTTCAAAACGAAATTTAGGACGTGATGATCGGTATAAACATAAATACAAATATATTCTTCATATTGATTATTTCTTCTGCTTTTGTTTTTTCTTCATTTAGTGTGATTAGTAGTTTAGGTAAAGAAGTTCGGTTTCCATATCTTGATGAACAATTAGTTAACTATCTCCGTTCGATACCTATTTGGCATAAAGCTGATTTACGTTTAGCACGTGGTATTGGTGAAAAATATTTACTTCGTTATATAGCTCGTCATTATCTATCCCTTGAACAATCATCAAAATATCCAAAACGCGCTATACAATTTGGTTCACGTATTGCAAAACTTGAAAGTAAAAAAGAAAAGGCATCTGATCAATGTTCAAGATTAACAACAACAAATAATAATAATAATAATAATAATATTGATGATGAAGAATAATTTATTTGTCATATTTATTCTAGAGAAAATAGCAAAAAAAGTTATGTAAAAAAAGTATAAAAATAAATACTTTAAATTGATAAAAAAATCACTTTTTATTAATCGATAAAATAAATTTATATTAATTATTGTCATTATGAAAAGATCTGATTGACCAATACAAGAAAGAATTAATGATACATTTGAACGATTAATTATTAACCAAATAGACATATATGTAATAATTCTAAAACAAAAAACAACAAATGTAACTAAAATAATAGAGAAGATGATAGATTGTTTCTAACCCGAAAGTAAATAAAAAATTTATATATCTAATAAATAATGCAAAAGCTCTTTCAATATGTTTAATGTCTCGAGAAAAAAATAATAAAAACACAACTAACGACTCTCAAGATAATTACTATAGAGAAATAAAACATATCTAGATTAAGTATTGTATTAATAAGAAAAATTTTATTTTTTCGAGATGTATTCCAATATAAATGTAATTGTCGTAAATGTAAAAATATACTATTTATTTCAAGAAATAAACTAAGAACAGAATATCCAATAAATTGACCATAATAAACTGAAATACCAAAACATCCAATAATCTAAATATGATAAATATGTTGTCTATCATTCTAATATATATATATATTGATTCTTACAATAATATGATGTAGAAGATATTCATATGTTTGTCTACTTGGTAGTTTTCTTAACATATGAATTGAATCAAAAATAAAATAACCTTAATAATACTTTAAAAACAAAAACAAAAAAAAGAATTATTGTAAAATAATCAAATCTATTTTAAATGATACAAATAAATAAGCATTTCTTATAAATGATAATATTATATCTGTTGTACACATTTTAGGATTTTCAATAAAACTAAATAAAATTTTATTCATATTCCATTCAAATTTTAATCCTTTACTAACCAATAAATGCTCATTATGGATGAAAGAATTGAATGAATAAATGATGTAAATATATTAATTTTTTTTTTTTCATTGTTGTCGTTTATCTTTACATGATATTAGTTTCGATAATACATGATGTATTGTTGCAAATGTCAATATACTTGTAACAGATCCTCACCAAAAAGAATTTCAATCATAAAATATCGTTTTTAAAGATAAAACAACAAGTATAAATTATATTATGACTCTTTTTGTATATATATATATGTTAATGATAAAAGAACATTTGTCGTCTCTCGTTTACACCAAGATATACACCTTGTATGTATGCTATGAAGTGTTATGTAATGACTAAAATCATAGGTCATTATTTAATATTTGTTTTTTGGTCAGCTAGACTTTATTATGTTTTTTTTTTGTAAAAAAAAGCCGAATAAAGAAATAGTGATTGAGAAAAGAAAGAAGAGAAAATTGATCAATATTGTACATATTGATGATAATAATGGGAACAAACACAGCAACAACAAAAAAAGAAAAAAGAAGATCCAAATACAAACACTAGCGAATCTCTTTTTTTATTCGCCAACAAGAAAAAAAAAGACAACCATGCACAGAAAACATCAAGAAGAAGAAAAAAATATATATAGATCGATCTTAGAAATCGGGAAACTCTATATATGCTTTAATACTTTCATTTTCATGTCCGTGGCTATCACTCAATTGATGCAATGACAATAATAAGTTTTTTTTTTTTTTGAAAGACACATTTATACAAAACCAAAACTCTTTTCTATGTTGTTTGGTTTTCTTTTCTATAAGTACAAAAATAAGCAATGAGAACGGTGTTTCATTTGTTCACTGTCAAACATTTCAATTTTAAAGAAAAAAAAAAAAAAAAGAAGAAAAATATGTCGTCACACGGACGGAATACATTCGCTCGCGTGCTGCATCAATCAGTTTCTAGGTTGTTCTGAGGAATATCCTTTTGTTTATACAGGACATTGAATAAACAAAGAAAAACAAAAAATGATGATGAATGCGTTTTTAAACGCTGCATATATAAGGAATAGAAAAAAGAAAGAGATGATCGAAGCAAATAGAACAAAGAAATTTTAAAGAAATCAATACGTGCTCAAACATTTGCACGCACCAAATATGTCGAATTGAAAAAGAAAATTTGAAAAAAACTTTTAAAGACGAAAAAAAAAAGAAAAAAAATAATTATGAGTGTACAAATATTCAATCGCCGGGATGTTCAGGACATGACCGATTGATACGAAACCAATTGTCGATACAACTAAAGAAATTCAAATAGATTTATACATCATTTTATAAAAATAAAAGAAAAGCAAAAATTTTTATTATATTGATTTAATGACGAAAGAAAAAAAAAATTTCACCGAATTATTTATATTTAATCTCATGTTTTTGTTATTTAAATTAATTTGTCAAGGTCTAATGAATTAGTTTCTATGTTTTTAAAAATACGTGTAATGAAATATGAAACTACCCAATAAATTCGTATACACCATAGTAAATATAAACTGGAAGTCTTGCATGAAATGGCGTTGATAATGTCAAGCCATATCACGCTAACGTTAGTGTACCTATTTATCACACACACACTCAATAGATAACGTATAATAAATCTTCAAACTATCCGATCTTCAGAAGGTTTAGTGTCATTTACTAATCTGATACTTGACAAGATCTCGAGAACAATTATTTTAAATAGGCCTTATTAACAAAAATTATTTTTCTTGATATGAGATGTGATCAGTCGATCTAGACATTGATTTACTGATTAGTCAAAGTGAAGATTGATATCAACTTTTACATAATATAATATGTTTAAACAAAAAAAGAAACTGACAAGTGATAGCCTATAAAAATAAATCCATATTCTAATACGTTGGTTTATCGGTGTTCACATAAATATTGCAATTTAATCAGGCAGAATATTTCTTTCTTTATCCATTACACATGTTGTTCTGCTTCGAAAATTTCACGATAACACTTATTTTTATAAGCAAACTTGATACTATTCAATAAGAAATACAATGAGTTACTAAATATAATTCTATTCAGCTCAAATATATTTCTATAATTTAGTATGTATAGACATCTGTAGGATTAAACAAAAAATATTTAAAACATTTTTGTCTTCCTTTTTAAGAAAAAAATGTACCTAGCAAATGATTATCAAATCAAACTTTATTAAACTAAATGAATTCTTAATAAAATTTCAATGATTTTTTTTTATCATATGACATAGAATTTTTATTTTCATTGGAATAAAATAAATAAATTTCGTTTTACATATTTGATTTTACCTTTTATGATAAATACACAGACATGGTAATCGAGCAATTTTTTGTCCCTCTAGTAAATCATCAAGACATATGACACATTCACCTTTATTTTCAGTCAATGTATCTTCTAGAATAAATAAGAAAAAAAAAAAAGATCAATTTAAAATTGAAAAAAATTCAATATTTTATTCTATAAATAAAACAAACCATTATAATCTATACGTGGTTTTGATAAACATTGAATTATATGTTTATCAAACGAATCACTTGGAATTGTTTTATTACATACAGGACATGGAACATCACGAAGTGCAATAAGTATACGTTGTAAACGTCGACGAGCTTGTGGTGAATCATCATCTGAGCTTTGATCATCCGATTCATGTTCAATGCCAACATAACGTAATAAATTAAAATTAAATGCAGCTGCCGATGCTGGATCAATATTTGTTGATGCTGTACGATGTCGATTATGATTTGATGGATTATTACGAAATAAACCATGTGTATTATTATGACCACTATTTGAACGATGACGATGAGGTTGGGAATGATGATTTGAATGTGTACGTGGATGAGATAAATTTGTTGCCGAACCATTACCCGTATTTCGATGTGCTGTTGTCGATGATGATGATGCTGATGATGGTGGGGTTGTTAAACGTCCACCCATGTTTGTGTTTTTTTTTTTTAATAAACAAACAAAATCTGTTGAAAATTTAACAAATTAAATTAATAAATTAACGAATATTTGACAATAAACCAAACATAATCATCGACATATCTAAATGGAAATTTTATTATTTGAATTCTAATAATAAATGTCACTTCATAGGAACTAAGCAGGGTTAAATAATCAACAAATAAACATCATACGTCTATCCATTTATTACCTCAAATGAAATGTGTCGACATCTTATTTGATTGACATTGGTGTTTTGATTTGTCCAACAAAACTTTATTCGTGTGCTGTCGTCATCACTCACTGAACCATGCAATATTAATGTTAGATAACCAAATAATTATGTTACCGATGTATACTGCAAAATATGTTCCTATAAATTTACTTAATAATCATTAACTTTTCAGTGCAATGGTACGTCAACGACTACGTAAACGATCTCATGCGCAACTTTACCATTTTAAATGTATTCATTGTTTGATACTTTTTTCAGCTGGATGTATTTCAGCATTTACAGCTTTTTCATTGACATTATATGCTGCTTCGGGTGGTTTCGGTGCACTTATACATTATTTATTTTCACCAAATATACAAAAACCTCAAATTCAACAATCATTTGATGAACTAACTGAATATTATCGACCAAGAGATTTTCTTGGTAAACAAAGATCAGTTAATATTGATCATAGTATAAAATATCGTGATTTTAATTATCGTAAACCTGAAACATTAACTTATAAAAGTACAACGTATGATAATAATATAGAAATCTTATATCGAATTCCACAAAAATCTTCAATATCAGCTTTATTACTTATATTTCATAGTTGCAAACACACAGCTTATGATTGGTTTCATTCATTTGAACGACAACGTATTATTGGTGCTGCTGTAGAACTTGGATATGCTTGTTTAGTATTTCAAGCAACAGATAAAATTAGTCAATGTTGGTCATATAATGCTGATATTTATGAGAATAAAGATGTTCAAATGGTATTAAAAGGACTTGATGGTTTTTATAAAGAATATCCAAATTTAGGTAAAATAAAAAGCTGTTTATTTTATTTAATTTTTTATTCTTTTAGTTAATGATTATACTTTTGAAAATTTCTTTCGTTTTTCTTTTTTCTATTGAAAAGCATCTTTACCACGTTTTACATTTGGTTCATCAAGTGGTGGAATATTTTCAAGTATATTGGCTATTAATAAACATCATCCAATTCAAGGACAAATTATTTATATTTCAATTATTCTTCCAGAAGTCTTATATACTTACGTTAAAGAAAACAATTATCCACCAACTGTTTGGATACATGTATGTGAAAAATAAAAATAAGAGATAAGATTTTGTTGAAATACTTACTAATTTTGAGTCTTCTACAATAGTTTACTAATCAGATTAGAATCAAAATAACATTTGTCTGAAATAAGGAGAATAAATAATCATTATTTATTATTAATTTATCAATAGTGTTTTAGTGTTTGATATTGATATCGAAACTATTCAAATAATTTCACATTTAGATATATATCTAATAGTAATGACGTATCGGAGCAAAGAATTTTCTTTTAACCTTGAAAATACACGTACAAGTGTAGGAATGCAAAACAGTAGTCGATAAATTTCATTCTAGTTCGTATCTAAGGAACTATTGAAAACATTCTCTGATCAAACAGTTTTGTTCTTGAGACTTTGAGCTGTTCAAATAATTTTTGTTTTTCTGTTTTTGAGAAAGTCACTTCAGGATATGCAAAATTTTTATTCTGTTACAGAATTGCTATTACAAAAACAGAACAAACAATTTATCGAACAACTTAATTGCAGAAATTAAAATATTAAAACAGATCAATTCCTATCAGAAGAACTTTTGGAATAGATCTTGTAATAGAAGTTGATCGGTTCCTAGTAAAAAACTTATCAAGAAAGGAAGATCATCTCACCCTCAAAAGAAAACAGTCTTATTATTAATCTCTGTACATTACAAATCGTCATAATTGTCACATACTTGTTCTTTCTCATATTTCTGCTTCTTTGCTTTCATCTATTCTCATTCTCTGTTATTTATTCTTACATATCTCCATAATGTTCTATAACATTAAGTCATGTACTGTTATAAGCATATACATACTCACAGAAAGTTCAGAATTTATGTGCGATCATTAGCTCTCATGTATTATCGAAGATCTGCTATTTTTGTTTACTTTTGTTAAAAAGAGAAGTTTTACTATTAAGGAAGACACACAAATGTTTATGAAGATGAGATGCTAAGAGTAGTTGGATAAATTTCTACAGGAATATTTATGAATGTTTACTATCGGTACATAAATCGTATGACAAGCACTAATTCACTATATCCCATGTTGGGGATCGTTGATTGCGGTACGCGATATTTCGTTCTTTTCTATTCATTCCCTTATATTTCGTCTCAAATTATGACCATTCATTTTCATTAGAACAATATGAGAAAAATTTTATTTAACTAAATTCAAATGCTTATTTACAAGTTCGTAGTGATTCGAGTTAAATATTCCTTCATATTATCGACATTATAAGACAATACATTTCTTTTCAATCGTGTCATGTAAGATACATTCAGTCACTTTAGTAATAGAAGAATATTTGATTGATACTCAATTATTGAATGTATTCAAAATTTTGGTTTACTTACTTTTACGATTTTGATCTTCACGACTCAACATATGTTTTTGTCATCTTCTGTTTTCGGATTTTGATTATGCTAATGTTTCCAGGGGTAGCCTCATGTTTTAAGTGTATTTTTGAGATATCCTAATATTTAAGAGTGACTATCAAATTTGTATCTCGTCAATCATGCAATTTTCAAGCGTGATCTATTTTCTGCGTGGAATGTTCTTTGATCTTAAATCTATTACTGAATGTATTTTTCATGAACATATACAGACGATGTTATTATATAGATAGAGAGAGAGGTAAGATTCATAATCCTTTTCTTCTTTTGCAAAAAGTTATACGTAATATTTCAATCGCGCACTTTTAATTAACTGAAAGGTTTTATTGTTCACCCTTATGAGTTGTTCAATCCGCTATGAGAAAAGATCAATGTCAAAATGATAGATGAAAGTATTAAAAATGAGAGTTTTAGTTGCAAAGCTCTAAATACTTATTACCATCACATGTTGTGGAACGTGATTATGCATTCAGATACATAAATTAGAATTCTGAATTTTAATAGATATACGTGAGATTATGTTAATACATGAAAAAAAAAAGATCTAATATAATCTTCATGTTTTGAAAGCATAAATTTCACTTTTATGCATGTATCTCTGTGCAACAAAAAAATTTGTCGTAATTTTTTAATACAAAACAAAACTTGTCTTCTATTTTCTTTTGATATAGTTAAATCAAGCTAATTGCATTGTTTTTAAAATTATTGTTTTTTTTTCTTACACTTTGATGTTACTCATACACTGTTATATGTTCTTCCCTTGACTTATTTTATTATTGTCTTAGGCAAACTCATACGAAGTTTTATGGCCTTTGATAGGCCACTTCTGTGTATAAACACTAAATTGAGATAAAAATTATTTTTCAACAAGCCTATAAAAAGATATTGAAAGAATGACGTGAGTTGTTGTTTGAAAAATCGTTTTTATCTGAAGATTCAAAAAAACCTTTATTATTTATGATATAAAACGTGATTAATATTACGACCCCGAAAGTACCTTATTGTATCTTGAAGAATGCATTCGTTTGACAAGAACAAGACGATATATCTTATCGAGGTATACAATCAAATTAATTCAAAAATACTATGCTCTATTTCAACGAATAAAATTTATCTTCATAGAATCTTTTATGATTGTGTAGGACTTGCTTCAATTATCATATTCTCACGCTTCATATGTTTTCAATGTTAATGCGAAAATTTTATGAGTAACGATCACTTAAATATTTCGTGTTTCATTATTGACTGTAAAATTAATCCTTTTTTTTTCGTAAATAATCAAGTTATCAAACACATGAATGTGCAGCATAGACAAGACATTAGTGAATTTTAAAAAGCGATGAATCTCTTACAGAGAGGATATTAGAGGTCATGCACAATTTCTCCAGCGTATTAACACTACTAGAAAATGATATCGCATGTTTTGCTATCCATGCGATAATTATCGCTGGTATATCGATCGGTATAATCTACGCTATATCGGTGGTTTTTGTTTCTGAAAGTGTTCTATCATTATGTATTGTATCAAAACGAGTGCATATTTTTGAAGACTATTAACACTGACAGGATTGTGTCGAATTCGATACACTCTGATAATGTTGAAACATCTGTACTAGTCACAGAGCCTAAATCGATGTCACTTATGAGATAGATTTTTATTACAGATGACGCTGCAACAACTTTCATGAGCACAATATATTCCGAAACAGTTTTCTTCTAAATTGATTTTAATTATTTATAATAAACTATTTGAATTCAAGGAGAAAATACTTTTTGCAAACATTTTTAGCTGAATCCGAATGTCGCAAGAACTACTGCCGATACTGCGTACAAATATGCGACTTTGGTATTACCTGTATCACTAAGTACGACACCGGAACCAAATTTTTTTTCTTAGTCAAGACCAAAAACGATGGCTCTCATTCATCACTAAATCATACATGTATATTATATGAAAATTTGAGAATGCTAATAACAAATAGTATTATCTTAAGTGTTAGTTTCTCGTACTGTGTAAAGATACTAAAAGAATAGTTGTGCTTTCAAGTTCAAAAATAAGCTGAGTTCGAAAATGATTTCTTTGCATATTAGTTGGTTTTTTTTTACTAGAGTAGTATTGTGTTCTTCTTGAGGTAATATAGATTGAAAAGGTACAATTAGGAATGAACACAACTCTTCCTTTTCTTTTCAAAATTATATATGATGATGTGTAACAACACACGAGTATTATCAAAGTGAAGAGAGGTAGACGAAAAGAATAAAGAGAAATAGAGCGAAAAAAATAAATGATAGATGAACAAAAAATTAATTATACAGATGTTGAATCATAGCAAGTAAAATAAATTATTCTTTTGATTGATTTGGTTACGTTAGACATGAGATTGATTATATAACTCACTCTCATATACTTTCCTTGGCATTGAAATATCTTACAGCGATTCTTTCATAACTTTGAATAGATCAAAGGCTTACCTCTTGAGTTAAGAGAAGCATACTAATCATCTGTTAGACTATGAAAGGAATACTTAAGAACAATAGAACTTGTTCGCAGCCTTGTTCAGAGCATATAATATAACAGTGTAAAAAAAACGAATCATCAAAAGAAGGTACGACTGTGTGAGATTATACAATCTACCATAAAAAATTGACTAGAAAATATTACAGACAAGCATTGCCTCCGAAATAACAAACCATCCTATATTAGTAAGCTATTCACAAGAAAAATCTCAAAAAAAAGAAGGCTATGAGATTTTCTAAAATCCTTTTTTGAATATCAATACCTAAACATTCGGTTTTAAGTAAAATATCATTGTTTTTAAATTAAAACTAGTCTTCTTTTTTATTAAAAAAAAGTGTTTTTCTTAGCAAAAATCGTGCTTTTCTGGCACTGATTCACTAATAACGGTTATTTGAATACTAGAAGAGTTTTTCAAAAATCCTTGGCTCTTAAGGTAAATCTTTGAAAAACATAGTCCGAAATGGAAGGCCATAGTATTTTACTCTGGAGGGAGGGAAGAAACGATCTATTACAAACGTTCGATTGTCATATTCGTTGTGTCAATATACTGTGTCTGATGGGGAGAAAAGTATTTTCATGGGTAATGTCATGACGTAGCTAACCAATAAGACATTTAATAAACAGCAAGTGTTTATCGAGAATCTTTATTAGTTGACCTTTAAATCATTTGTTTCTTCTGCTCTATAGTCATTGAAAAAGTGTCAGACTTGAAAATCATTTCTTACAATCTCTTGTACAAATAATGATAATCAAACAGTAAAATCTGTTCTTTACAAGAATATGTTTTCTTTTATTAGATGTTGCGTGATATTGAATTTGCTTCCGAACAGCGTATAAATAACTCAATAAAGATTTTTATTGAACAGAAAATTCCTTATAATACCTTGGCTATTGAACCCATACGATTAACACGCAACACATTTCGTGAGCGAATACCATCAATAAACGCTAAAACATCACAGTATTTATTTAAGCGATTACAACAAAATCATTGGTTAAATTCTTATGATATATTAATGTACAATCCACGACGTAAATTTATATGGAAGACATTTTTATTGCCTGCAACAATAAATGACGTTGGCAATGAAGACATATTCAAAAACATAAATCAAAATAAAAATCAAATATCTGAATTTTTAAATACGCTTTATGGCGAACATGAAATAAGCTATGAACGTTCATTTGAAGCATTAAATTGGCTTAAAGAAATTAACGTTTCATCTAAACTTCCAACAGATTCAAATAATTGATGCATTCTTTTTCTTTCTCAATTTATTAGTAAAATCTTATATTGTACATGGTTTTCTTGTCTGTGATATGATATTTGTTTTTGATTTTTAGTGTTGTTTTTTATTTACTCAATTAGACCAATCGAATCTCTTTTGTTAGAGAACGAAAAAAACAATAAGCTGCAATAATCCGCATTCTTTCACGTTTTATTTTTGTTTTTTTTCTTCTTTATGGCAAATAATAAAATGAAGCTCGTTGGTGCTATTGACCAAGGAACATCATCGTCTAGATTTCTCGTAGGTTCTCTTGTCATAAACTAATATTTACATGATAGGCTTGTTGTTAAAAAGATTTTTAATGCAGAAAATCTTGATTTGATTACATACTATCAAGAAACAATTCAAATAATCACACCAAATCCTGGCTGGGTTGAACAAGATGCCTATGAAATTCTAAATAAAACAATTTTATGCATTGAAAAAGCAATTGAACAATTACAGGAATTAGGATATAATAAATCGGATATTAAAGGTAAGATACGGATAATTCAAAATTGGAGTAGAAACGATTGCGGTTTCATTCATATATGGTTGAATAGAGTCTGATGCGCTGACAATGAGTATGAGAGTTCGAGATTTTTCTATCGTCTGTTAAAAGAGAAAATTTGGATGTATTCGAAGGAACTAAAAATCGCTTATTTATAAAAATATTATAAAGTCTAATTTTTTTAACAATTTTATTGTTGAAATTTTTCAAAGTGTATCTTTTTCTTGTTCGCTATTTAAAACTGAGGACAACAGTTGTATTTTATCGATACGAGAGTCAAAATTCTATCAGATATAGTTGTGTCGAACTTGTTATATTATGGTTCACTAGTACCAAACTTTGCAAATCTATCTATTTCGTTTCTTGTACGAAGAGATGAAGCCAAGAATCTTATTTCATCAGAACTTTTCGATGACGAACTTTACCAGTACGTCTTGAGTTTTCATAAATTTGGTCTTATTAGTGAGTAAATAGAAACCTTTGGTTCAAAGAACAAAATTCTGCTAAACTTGATTCTAGATTCAGCTATTTTGATCTCGAGACTATCAGAACAGAAAAAAAACGAACGTCATGTTCGAGATTAGCTTAAAAAACTGCATCAAGTCACACACCTTTTATTGAAAAATTTCGTCTGTAGTCCATTTGGAGTGAGTTACTGGCAGTGTTCATCATGCACGAAGTTTTTGTGATTCAACTCGAATCGGGCTCTGATATCCATCACTTCTCTATGTTTCTTGAGAAAATTATTTTTTCAATCTTTGGTTCTTCCTTTCATTTCATCGTTGACAACAGTGGATATGTCATTGACCTATTGTTGTCCTTGATATGTCACAGTTGGGACGAAACGATGATGTAATAGGAATTTTTCGTCTTTGTCTTTTTTTCTTTCGAATGTATACAACCTGTGACCGTTATGTCACCATTGAACAGATAATACACTTACTACGCATCGTTGTTCGATGTCAATAAACAAAAGTCGATGAAGTCGAAGACAAGATCGTGTGATACATAACTTCTTATTTTACTCAGCTTTTCAACGTTCGCCTATAGGACATCCAAATAAAAAACCATTTAAAATGTCTTTTGTATGTGCAAAATGTTTAGACTGGAGATCCATTCCGGAATTTAGAAATTTTTTCCTAACTTGGAAAGACACGAGTCAGACACTAATTGCTTGTAGGAAAAGTTTTCCAATGAGAGATAATTGATATGATGCAGATTTTCAAGTTGATGCCAAGTATGACTTCTATTTTGTTCTTTTCTGATACGCTCATGATCAAAATGGATGAATCTGGAATAAATTTTTGCAGAACTTTGCTCTTTGAACCGAATATTTCTATTTTCTCACTAATAACACCAAAGTTTTGAAAACTAAAGACGTACTCTAACAGCCCGTCCTCAATAGCTTCTAATGAAGGAAGATTCTGGGCTTCATCTCTTCGTATAAAAAACTGAATAGATGGGTTTGCACAGTTTGAAACTCGTGATCAGAGTAGGAGAAATTTCGACACGACCATACCGAGCCGAATTTTGACTCTAATGTCCATAAAATATAACTGCTACACTCAGTTTTAGATGACGAAAAAGATATGGCTTGAAAAGTTGCATCAATAAAAATGTTAAAAAAATAGAATTTATTTTTTCAAATAAGCTATTTTTAACACCTCCGAGAAACAGCAAATTGTCTTTCTAAAAAGACAATAGAAAAATCCAAAAATTCACATATTTGTGACCAGTATACTTGACTCAATTCAACGGTGCATAAATGAAATCAAAATCATCTCCATTCGAATTTTGCATAATCCGAACGTAATAAAGAACAATGAACTTTCAAAATTTCCAATTTCTATTTTATCTTAGTCATTGGTGTAACAAATCAACGTGAAACTACAATTTTATGGGATAAATATACTGGTAAAGTATTATATAATGCTCTTGTATGGTTAGATGCACGTACACAAGAAACAATTGATTTTCTGTTAAAACAATATAGTACAGACAAAAATTGTCTTCAAGTTAGTTAAATAATTTGAATTATAATAGAATGTTTTTTTTTATATTGATAAAATTTTTAAGAAACAATGTGGCTTACCAATATCAACGTATTTTTCTGCATTAAAAATTCGATGGTTAATGGATAATAATGAAAATGTTCGAAATGCAATAAAAGAGAAACGATGTGTCTTTGGAACAGTTGATAGTTGGTTACTTTATGTAATGAAATAGTTCTAAATAATTATTATAATATATTATATTTTTCTTTAATTTATGTAGAATTTTCTTTCTGATGGCAAGAATATTGTACATGTAACAGACGTAACTAATGCTAGCCGTAAGAGCAATTGTATTTTTTTTTTGGAAAAGGGCAAAGTAAAATGTTTTTTTCTCGAGAAGAATTATTCATTAATAGTTTATGGCTTGAACAAAACACATTGAAAACATTACAATCCTCTTTTCTGTCTATTTCATAACATGAATAGAATTTCTTTTCATAGGAACAATGTTGATGAATATTCGAAATCTACAATGGGATGCAGATCTTTGCCAGTAAGAAAAATTTATTAATCCATCAGAATCAAACATTCTCTTTGTATTTCTAGATTCTTTAGCATTCCGGAACATATATTGCCAGAAATTAAACCATCAGCAACAATTTTCGGTTACATTAAGAAAGGCGTGCTCAAAGGAATACCTATTGGAGCAGTAAGAAAAAAAATACTAATCTTCATATTCATTTATTATTACTCTTTCACCTCTAGGTTCTCGGTGATCAACAAGCAGCACTAGTCGGTCAACAATGTTGGACAAAAGGAGCAGCAAAGAGCACGTCTGTCTACATTCTTGATTTTTTTTTTCGAATTTTATTTATATGAAATAATTGTATTTTAGATATGGTATACAATAATAATAAAACACATTCTAATTCAATATTTATGTTTAGGAACTGGTTGTTTTATATTATATAATACTGGTGAAGAATTAGCTTATTCAAGAAGTGGTCTTCTAACAACTGTAGCATATAAATGGAATGATGATAATGCTGTTTATGCTCTCGAAGTACATATATAATGATGTATAGTATTGGACAAAAGTTTCTATTCCAATGGGTTTCGGTCATTGTATACATTGGAAGTCTGCAACTTTGTATACACGTACTTCAACAAGAATGCAGGTCATTGGCGTTGCAATGCCGTTATTGCTTAATGATAAAGGGAGTAATAATGGATGACACTTAATTTTGTTATCAGCCTCATAATTCTGAAAACAAAATTATCTTTTAGGTGAAGAAGAATTGTAGAAGAGACTTCAGCTACATGTAAAGATATCAAGAATTAGTCATATTTTCAGTGAGAAACAATGAAAAGTTTTTCAGATGTCGTCCATGATGACCTTTTTTGTAATTAAGTTATAACCACGTCTCAATACCAATGACCTACATTATTAGTGAAGTACGTGTACAAAAACTTTCACACTTCCAACACACACAACGATTGAGATCGGCTGATGCAAATATATTCGTTCACTAATATATGTACATGTTTTTCTAATATTATAATTCTTTTCATAAGGGTTCCATTGCTATTGCTGGTGAATGTATAAAATGGTTACGTGATAATCTTGAATTAATTCCAGATTCAACAAGCAGCGGTTTGTTTCCGATACATAAAAATAAGAAAAAAAAAATTTCTTATTTGAATATTTAGAAACAATTGCAGCTTGTGTTGAAGATACTGGTGGTGTTTATTTTGTTCCAGCATTTTCTGGTCTGTTTGCACCTTATTGGCGTTCAGATGCTCGCGGTAAATAATAAACATCAAAACAAAGATTCAAATAAGAAAAAAAAATATATGTTTTAGGTCTTATTATGGGTATTACTCAATATACAACAAAAGCACATATTGTTCGTGCTGCTCTTGAAGGTGTTGGTTATCAAACACGTGAAGTAAAGTTTTTTTTTTATTGATTTTTTTCGTATGTCTTCGATAAAAATTATTCAAAAATAGATCGTTGATGCTATGTATGATGATAGTGGTGTACGTCTTTCAAAATTAAAAGTTGATGGTGGTATGGCAAATAATAAATTATTTCTTCAAATGCTTGCCAATATTGTTGGTATTAATGTAACTATACCTAATTTATTTGAAACAACAGCATTAGGTGTTGCACTTGCTGCTGGCAAAGCCAAAGGTATTGATTTATTTAAATTAGAACAAGACAATGAATTCGAAACAAAAGCGCATACATATAACCCACATATACAAGGAAAAAGTAAATTATGTTTTTTTTTTTCTTAGGTAATAATTATTTATTTTAATATCTCTTTTTGTTTCTAAGAACGTGAAGAAAATTTCTCTGCTTGGAAAAAAGCTGTTGTGAAAAGTTTTGAATCTGTAATAATACCAGAAAGTAAAAATAATTTTTTTGAATATGTCTAATCTTGAATTTATTTTAAAGATACCAAACATAAATATCATCTGTCATCAACAGCTATCGGATGGATGACTTTAACAAGTTTCTGTGGTATTCTATTGTATATGATCATTCGTAATCATTAATCATTTTAAAAACATTGATGTATTTTATACTCTTCTTTTATTTTTTGTTTAATTTAACAAAATTTAATATATTAATCATGATATAGATGCTAGACATAAAGAAAAAGCAAAAGATTCAAATCACATGTATAAGAACTATTTTGTGATGTTGCAAATGATTATATGTTTGCTTCCTAAGTTAGTCCTATTTTCAGTTATGAACTGCTGATAGAAATTTATACGATTCTTAAAAATAATTAAGAAAAAAAGGAAATTCAAATGAATGCATATCAATATGTAAAATGTATTAGTCGATGGATTTCTATAAAATTTTTTTCTATATGAATGTTGGTAAATTAATTCTTTTGATAAAAACCTCATGATAAGAAAGTACTTTAAAACAATAGAACTTCATTGAGTCTTTCTTTTTTGTCTCGTCAATGTTCAATCAAGCCATTTTTCTGTTGTTGATGACAGCATACAAGACTTTGTTTTCTGGCTATGCCTGTGTTATTACTCTTAGTTTATAATTGGCACGTTAGATGAAGAGAAAGAACGACGACATTATTGTCAGTCAAGAGGAAAAGCAAAAGGAGCGTGAGTAACAATAGAATATTAGTTATTTTCTTTAACTCATCGGTCGACGATGATATTAACCTTATATTGTTCATCAAAAAAAAAACAATCACCTCTTTCTGTCTATTCTCATTGTGATCATATTCTAATTTCTCCCTTTCTCGCTTGTTTCTATATTTTATATGATTTTTGAGACATTTTTTGAAAGTGATTCCATCGGGTTATATGCGTTTTATAGGCAGGTTAAAACAAAAGGAGTATATGGATGCATGCATGTTTCGTACTTGAAATTCTTTTAATTATTATTGATAAGAATGAATTTCATGTTACGATTTCTGTAAAAATGTGTATTTCTTTTTCTTTTTTTATTCTCTGTCAGGTATTTAACATCATTTTCAAAAAACAGCAAGTGTCTTCCATATTACATTTATAAGTGTAAAATTTGAAGCGAAATTTAGATATAATACAAAGAAGTTCGATTAGCATTTTGTCTTAACATTAAAAGCAAAAATCACAGAACTTCAAGTAATAGATTATGGTAAGGCTGGAGTCCTCTTTGATATTAGATTATAAACAAGACAGTAGATTCTTGAACAATGCTTAGAATCAAATGCTATTCAATTATGTTCAGAAAGTTTATGTATGTACATAAAAATGAAACCAGGTAAGACTATGTGACCAAATAATCGAGTGTTAAGATGACTCTTTGCAGATTGTTATTTATGTATTGGTTTGTTTCATAGTCATCATGAATTGATTTTATTTTTTTTGTCTTTTGATAATGTTTATTTTTAGATTATCAAACATCATCATTCAATAAAAAAAATAATGCTTAGCGGAATTTTTAAATTAACATTATTCTTCAATATTTTCTTCCTGTTTGCAACTCTTCTTTGGCATTCATCAACCGCCGATACTTCACCGGTAAAACATTTGTATGCTAAAATATTGCCGGAAATTGAGCTATATCAAACTATCACTTATACTATTCTATTCTATATGAAAAAAAATGAGACTGATGATCAAACTGATCTATTATTTTACAATAATAGATACTTTTATTAATTCAAATTGATGACATGTAGTTTTAAAAACTAGATAATTCACATAGATATTGTATATTATTTTCATTGACTATCAATAGATATAAAATTAGTATTGCATATTTGTTTCTTTTTGTTTTTTTGAACAGAACAATAGAATATAAAAAATTCTACTGTTTAACCTGAATTAACAGTTTCTTTTTGTGACTTTATCTCTAAGGTCATGAAATAATATTGATGAATGTTTTGTTTTCTTTTATATTCTTTGTGCGTATGTTCATTTCTATGCTTTAAAGAAGTTAAATAGTAGATTGAATGCTATAAAGTTAAATAGTAATACCAAAAATAGACTTTTATCATATGCTTGGCTATTTTTGACTACAATAGAAAATAGTATGAAAAATAAAATTATACGTAAAATTTAGTTTGTTTTTTTTTTTCTTATAAGAAGAAGTAAATTTGAGTGCATCGAATTTAAACCAACTAGATTGAATAAATCTATTATTGATTGATAATTTTTCAATTTAACAAGAAAATTATTAATTATCAATAAGTTTACAGATAAATACACACGATAATGAAAAGAATAGAATGATATTAAAAAAAATCGATCTTCGGATCATTTTTACTTGACTCGCATCTTTACACTAATTGCTGTGTTTTATATGCATAGCATTGCCTGAGGGTAACAGCGTGATGATTGAAGTGAAAATGTTCTTGATCTTCGTTTTAGTGATTATAAAAACTGTAATCGTAGAAAAAATGATTATTGCTTTGTAGACTTTGATTTTTTTTGACAAGATGATTAAATGTCTAATACATTATTGACAATTTATAGTTTTATTTGGATGTGCTCACAAGCTTAATAAAGATCCGAACAAGGAGTAATATAATGCATTAATAAAAAATGTACTGCCTATAATAACTTTTGTTTTTCGATAAATAATAATAATATTTATATATGCGATTCTCTACAGAGTTAATTCATGTTTAGTTCTAACATGTAATGAGCACAAAGAAAAATTTCAATGCGACGAGACTATATTTTATTCATATTAATTATCCATAATGAAATATATGTGTTTTGAACTTGTTCTTTTTTTTTTTTTTACATCTATTAGACATTGACAAGCAATAAAATTTTGGCTAAATCTAAAAATAATGTATTCCATATGTTAGTCAATAATAATCATAGGAATGTGCCTAAAATTAAACGTTCATTGCAATCAACAGTCGATGAACGATTGCCGATCGACAATTCACGTTTTCGTTCTCATCAACGTGATAGTCGCTTAGGCAGAAAATTGCATTCAATGAAACTAAAAAATCCATCAAATATTTTACAATCGATAGGTACATCTAATAAAAAACTTCGAGTTTCTCACCGAATCCGACCTGAAATTGACAATCGTCTCAAACGTTTTCGTATGCTTGATCCAGATGAATTTAAAGAAATGCTTAACACATTGAGTCAACAAATGCCACATGAACAACTCAAAGGATTTAATAATCTAGATGCAATCGGTGGTTTACAAGTTGAAAGTAAGTTTATTTATAATTGTTAATCAAATATTAACTTTGTTTTTCTTTTGTTTTCTTGTAAGATTATTGGACGCGCAAATAAATATAATTTGATACAAGCTTTATTTTTTTTTCTTTTTCTCTTTTTTTTTTTAATTTCTATTGACGTCTATCAATATATACAAGAATGAATGTTTATTTGGTGTATGACATGTACATGGTTTTAGATGGATAATATCGATTGTCTTTTATTTCTTTTTATTCATTCTTAATAACAGAAAGAAAAGAGTTAGAGAGAAAAAAAAATCTGCACATCCTACTTTTGTTCCAACATATTTACTGTCGTAAAGAGAATGTTTCCAATAAATAAAATCGACTTTTTTTTTGTCAACAATAAAGTAATTGACAATTTCAATTTTATCAAAGAACTCAAGAACTTCAAATATTCAATGAAAATTGCATTAAAATGAACATTTTCATCAATTTTATTTCATATTGATGATCAAAAAATTATTTTCATTTCATTTTCTTACTTACAATTTTCATTTTAATCAGTTGAAAGTGACATAGATCAATTATTATGTCCTTTTCATTAACTAAAATAGCATTTTTTTTCTGCTTTTGACATAGTTAATGAAAATTATGAATTTTTTTTAATAACTTTTTTTTTCAATTGCATAGGAATTCATTGACATTGTTAGTGACTTAAAATTAAAAAATTCTTTAATTATATAGGTCAATTGTATTGAGCATTTGAAACTTACAGGAAATGTTTTCGAAAGATTGAATTATATTGGTCAGGAAATATTATATTCAACTTTTAGCCCATTTTGACAAATCTAATGAAACCATCATCTGACTTTATCTATAAATAATTTGATTCATCTAAAAAAAAAGTCATTTTATTGTTGATGACTGTTATTGTTAATCCGATGTTTTGACATTCAACTAGTAGCACAATATAGAAAACACTAATAGCAACTGTCTTTAGCATGCTCTTGACATTATGTTTGACGTTATAATTATCGATTATTGTATTCATAAGATGATTCTTTAAACTACTACGTATTACATTTTGAGTTTTTCTCTCGGCTAAACACAACAAAATGACAAAAAAAAACATGTTAGATTTTAGCATTTTTATAAATAGTTTGAAAAAGTTCTTTATATTTCTTTTCTACAGCATATCGACGTGATTTAAATGTTGGCGTTAAAAGTCCATTTTCAATTGTAAATGATTCTTTGATGAATTCAATGGCTTTCACTTGTTCATATGACATTAAACCACGTTTTTTACCTTCACGAATCATGTCATCAAGTACAATTTGTTTTAATTTAGCATTCAATTCAGATGACATTATTGTTTCAACATTATATCCTTCATTTTTTGCCCATTGTTTTACATAATCATCATTCAATATAACAATAGCAACAAGAAAACTTTCAAATGAATCACCATAGACATATATTTGAGAAATAAATCGACTGCGTGCATAAACATCTTCAATTTTTTCTGGTGCTACATATTCACCTTGACTTAACTATAAAATAAGGGGAGAGAAAAAAATTGAATTCAAAAAAAAAAACAAATTTCTACGAAGTTAAAACATTCACGAAATAATTCTCGATCATCTTCTATATAATAAATTCATGATTTCTTTCAATTACACCTCTATTAAATCTAATAAATAACAAATGATTGAAAAATAATTAGACAAAATGTGCATTCACTTTTCAGCTTTTTCAAAAAAACTGCAGAAATATGAAACTATAGAGTTTGAATCAAAATTTTGTTTTGTTTTCGCGTATAGATTCAAAACTTCTTCAGGACTCCTAACATAGAACTGGTCTATTGACAAATATTTGCTTTGTTTTGGCGCGTTAAAACTTGTCTATACTAAATTTTCTGGTCAGTAAAAGGTTGATTCATAGTTTCTAAACGAGTAGCTCTACAAAATATTTGATCCATATTCGAAACGAACAAAAACTTTGCCTCTAATTTCATGTTTTCAAATTCTTACAGACTCGTTAAAGAAGCTGAAAAGTAAATGAACACTTTGTCTTATTCCTTTTCGATTGTTTGTGACTTCTACCTATTGCTTTCATGCACCTGTATCACGTACTTTTCCAACCTTAGTTCCTTTTAAATTTTCACTTGTAGAATAGCAATTATTCTATTAATGTCTTGGATGAACATCTGAACGTTATCTTTAAGAGCTCATTTATTGAGTATGTTATACAAACAGGAATATCACATTGAATGATTAAACGATATCTTTTTTTTTTTTTTTGAGTACTCTAAATTTAAATGAATAGTTACGATAAATAAATACTCATACTAACCTTATACATATTTTTCTTTCGATCAACTATTTTCATTGTCTTATATGGTGTCCATCGACCAATATCACCTGTATGTAACCATCCTTCTTCATCAATTGCTTCACGTGTTTTAGCTTCATCTTTCAAATAACCTTTAAATACAGCTGGACTTCGGATACAAATTTCTCCAATATCGTCTTTCGCATAATATTCTTTTTCAGGTACATCAACTAATTTAATATAATTCATTGCTGTTGGAATACCTGTTTCACCTGATTCAATATCATTTATTGTTTGTGAACAACCTATGACACATTCTGTTTGTCCATAACATTCAATAAATAAACATGAAAATGCAGCACGTGAAAATCGACAAACGTCAGGTGAAAGTGGTGCACTTGTTGAAACAACACGATTTATTTTACCACCAAATGATTGACGAATTTTTTCAAAAATAATTTTATCCCATATTGTATTTTGTGAAGAATTTCCACGTCGAATAAGTGCTAATTTACTTCGAACAGCTAATCGAAATAAAATTCGACCAAGTATACCTTTTTTACGCAATTCTGATCGGACTTTATCATACAATTTATTTAGTAAACGAGGAACCATTGCAAGAATTGTTGGTCGAAAATCATGAAAATCATCGACCAATTTCTCAACTTTGCCTTGCCAAAAACCAACTTCGCCACCTAGAAAATTTAGAGAAAACATTATTCAAGTCAAGTCTGCTTTCAAAAAACAGCCAATTTTCGTCAGACTTATCGAAATTAAGATAAATACATCGGATGTTGATCCAAGCTTTGGTCTTTCATAAGTGACATGATTTTTTTATTTGGCACCTCGTTTTTTCCTCAAAAAATATTTGATGACTTCCATCATCACCTAGTGGAAAAATATGCTATTGTCAGAAAAAACAGAGAATATTTTTCGTTTTTTTCTGTCTATGTGTTGTTGATCACGCTTCGTAGCATACTCAAAGGCGTTTTATTGTGATCACTGCCTTTTATTTTGGTTTGAAAGAGCATATTATTATGCTGCGCATGACCGAATCCTTCTTTATATTTAGCTTTATCATCATTAGATCAAATAGTACTTTTATAAAAGAAAAGATTCAGTTTGTTTCCAGAAACAACAAGCGATCTGATCTTCTCGAAATCTGATACTCTTGTAGGAGATGTTTATGGTGGCGCAGCAGCGATAAATAGGGGTGAGAAAGTTATTTGTTATTGTTATTGTTATTAATAAACAATAAAATTAACTTTTTGATTCAAAACAATCAAACGAAACAATTCTAAGCATACTTTGAAAGAACATCAAAGGATCACTTTAGTAATACAGTGTCTTTTCTTACCATTTGATATAAGAACTTCTGGTGAATATTTTGAGAAATTTCAAAATAACATATTTTGTTATTGTTATTGCTAAATAACAATAACAATAACAATAACAAAATATGTTATTTTGAAATTTCTCAAAATATTTACCGCAAATTCTTATATCAAATGGTAAGAAAAGATATTGTATTACAAAAGTAATCTTTTGACGCTCATACAAACTATGCTTAGATTTGCTTCATTGATTGTTTTGAATCAAAAAGTTAATTTTATTGTTATTAATAACAATAATAATAACAATAACTTTCTCACCCCTAGCGATAAACCTTCAGCTATGATGAATATCTCTGACTTTAGCATATTTCCAAATTTTTTTATAAGTTTTGACTCAATTCGAAAAACACACGAGCCGATTCTATCTCTATCGTATAGGTAGAGCACCATTTTTTGAGAGTTTTCCGAGACAATGAACTTTTCTCCACTTAAAAGGAAAGACTTTTAAAAAAGCGCTCTGTCATGCTTTGCACTTTAACATGCTCATTCAAGCAAAAAACTATCAAGTATATAGTATGAAGGATCACAGAAAATTCCGAGATGCCAAATCAGCTATGTTTGATTCTTGTTTGTTGAATATCTTCTGAAAATTTAGTGTTATAGGGCTGAAAACTTTACCATTGCTGCTCCACTAGAGATCCATCGTATCCTGAAAATTTCATGCGATTTGAATGTCTCTAGCTCAAGATCGGTTTTTTGAGGGATAAGAGCCTTAACAATACTTGAATGTCTATTATACCTAAATAAGATACACCAACGACCGTTCCACAACCAAACATATGTGCTAAAGGCATATAATTTAATACTCGAGGAACTCCTTCAGTTTTCGACGTTGACTTTAAGTTAAGAGCAACTAGAAGACCAAAGATTGCACACATAAAACTTTCATGTGTAATAATACAACCTATATTCATGAATATTTATTTCAAAAATAATACGAAAATTAATCAATTTTTCTACCTTTTGGTTCTCCTGTACTTCCACTTGTATACATAATTACTGCTGAATCACTCGGTTTTGGTGGTACTAATTCAACTGGATTATTTCGACCAATTTCTCTTAATTTGTCAAGTGTAAGAAGATTTAAGTGTTTTTCTTCAGCTGATTTCATTAATTCATTTGTTGGTTCAAAAAAACAAACAATTGTTTTCAATGCTAATGTTTCATCTTTCCATTCAATTAAACTTTTTACACGTTGTAAATCATCAGCAAAAATTAATTCAACAGCACTTTGACGTATGATAAATTTGACACCATCTCGACCAAGTGAATCATAGATACCTATTGGTACCATTGAATATGGCCAAGCCGAATAAAGACATAATACATAATTGACTGATGCTGAAGCGTAAATACCAAAAAAAGTTTCGTTTGATGGTTTAAGACC